TCCATGTTGTACTCGCGATAATACCACCCGCCCGTCCGCGGGTCCCAGAAATCCCGCCGGTGCAGCTCGGGCGTGTGAAGACCCAGGTACGACATCCACTGCGTGTGTTCGCGCAGGATGGCGGGACTACTGACGTCCTCTGCGCCCAGGACGGTGTTGATGGGCTGCGAGATGGACTTTTGTCCGCGGGCGTCGCGGTCGTTGAACATGAGCATCAGGCGGGAGGCGATTTCCTTGTCGATTGCGCTGAGGGGTTGGCCGTGCTCGATGCGGCCGGCGAGGGATGTGAGGTAGGATTTGTGGCCGTTCTTTCTTGGGGAATGGAGATGGGCCTGGTACGGTGTTAGAGATCATGATTCAAAAGATGCGTTGAGAAGAAACAGCGTTCAGTCTTGTTGGCTGTGTCATACCTTCATCTCTCGCCGGGTATCCGTAAGGAACGGGCAGTTGTCCATGATGCACCGGTAAATCTCCTTGAGGTAGCCCGGCTCGGCGACTGGTGGCGGACAACAGTGGGTCGTCGGCTGCGAGTCCGGCAGGAAAGACACCGGCCGGCACTTTTGACAAAGGCCCCGGACGCACGGCTCGTTTCCGGGTCCTTCATGATCGAGGTAGTAGTGTAACTGGGGGTCCCCGGCACTTGTCAACTCATAAAGTTCACCTCAAGATCGAGTTTGTCTCAAACCCAAACCGGCGCGCGTCCAAAAAACGTACCTCTGAGCATCCCGGCCGAGAGAATCCGGGGTCTCTCCGGGCATCTGCCGGATTTGGCTGCGCGTTTGGTAAGCATTTGCTGCCTCTCCTCACTTGGAACATCATTTCATAAAACAAAGAAATGTGTGTAGCGGGCACGTACTATCCTCAGTTCAATCCGGTCCTTTTGGCTGACATCACCCCGAATCACCTTGGCGGGCAAAGGCATGGCGTTCCATCGCAGACAGCATATGGAACACACGTACTTCCTCGGCCAGCCAAAGTTCCCCTGCGCGTCCGCCACGGCCTCCGATTCCTGGCACCGCCAACCGATACCATTGCCGTACTCGTGGCGGCTGCGTGAGAGGCCGTAGTAGTCGATGCTCCATCCGGTCTGGATCTGGTCTCCGTTGGCCACGGACCGCGATCCGTCCACCTCCGTCGGAAGAGAGAACTCCTGCGGCGCCGGGCGGCCGACGGCGTTGCCGAGGTAGAACCCCGTGTCTCCGTCTACGCGGACGAGAACGTGACGCGGCTGTGAGGGCTCGGCGGCGGATAGGTCGAATGGATTGATGATCCCGGCAGCCGGAGCCGGAGCGGGCTGCTGTTGTTGTGCTACCTTGGCGGAAAACGTGCCGTCGTTGGCACCCCCTTGGCTGTGAATATCCCCACCGCCACCGGGACCGGCATTTGCTGCACCTCCTCTCGTGATGACCGCCGAGGCCGACGAAGAGGCCGGGCCACCAGCAGCATCTGGCGGTTTACCAAAGCGGGGAGGTCCCGTGCCTTGGCGGCTGCTACTGCTATTGCCGCCGCTGCCGCTGCTGTTGTGCGAGGGTATCAAGGAAGCAGCAGACGTCTCGCGTTCTTGTGGCTGGGCCTGGACGACAGCCGGACGTGTTGGTGGCCATTGTTGGCTGTACATGAGAGACCCATGACGTGGCGAGGGGAACGGATGAAAATCACCTCCCCCAAGAGAATTCTGATGCCCGACGAATCGATTGGAGACTGTCAGGCTCATGTTACGCGGGGGCGAAGATGTTGTGCTCCTGGAGGGTGCTTGAAGTAAAAGGGCGGCAGAGCCGGGGACGAAAAGGACCCCTAGTGTCTGGGTTGGTCTGGTCTGGTCGTGCTTCGTTTCCTGATCCTGGTTCCTGGGTTCTGGTTTCCTGTATCCGGGGGCGTTTACGTATCTGGCAGCTTGCTCTTCTCACGGGATCTTCAGCTGTGAAATGATTTGATTGATGCTGCTGCTGCTGGCCTGCTGCTCGCCCACGGGTAACTGCAGATGGGAAAGGGAACACAAAGTACGGAGAGAGAGAGAGAGAGAGAAAGAGAGAGAGAGGCGAAGAGAAGGGACGGGCGGAAGCGAGTCGGTCATGTACGATGGAGCGGAGAGATAGATCTCAGACAAACAGCGCGTGCCGGGAGTGGATGAAAGTGATGTACAGCGTTGTACAAAGAGTTCAAGCGGGAAGTGAATGTAGTGAAGAACGGAACGGGAGATGTAGGAGGAGATCCGGATTGAATGACGCCCCCCTGCGCTGCGTCGCTCACGATATTTTGGTTACTGGCTGGACGACTACCTACTTCCCACCGCTGGGCATCGGGGGGATCGGGGGGAATCCCTCAAGGAGCCAAGGTACCACCCAATGAACCCAATCGCGATTTCCCCAGTACCACCGTTTGAGTCCATGGTATCCAGCTGTTTTTTTTCTCGCTGGTTGCTCGCCTGAATCAAAAAGAAAAAGAAGGGCAAGGCGAGAAACTACCCCCCAGGGTGGCTGGCCCTAGTCTCAGAGTATCGCGAAAAGGAAAAAGCAATGCGCGTTACGGATGGATACCTACACCACTCTCTATCTCTCAGAGTCTCTCTGCGGCCTGGCCCCCATCACCCTTTCAGTAAGTATCTCTCTGCCTTGTCGTCGTTCGCTCACGCGTGCTTTGTCGGCCCTGTCGCCTACCCAGGCACATACGTACTATACTGCGTACGTCTGCGCCCTGCAACGTGACTGGTGAACCTGGGTTCCAGCGGACGGAAGATGCCCAATTTCTGCAGACAGACGCGTAGCGGATGCGCAGGAGAGCCAGAGCCGGGTACGGGTACGTATCCGTACGTACGACACAATGATAGCGTGCAGTAGATAATCTTGGGAGACTGGAGCCCAAAACGTACAAAGAGGCCGGGGTCTGGGAGAAGGGCCAGGGGACCAAGGCAAGGATCAAAGTGAACAGCCAGGGGTTTGGAAGTGGAGGGGTGATCCGGGAGAGGGGTGATCCGGGAGAGGGGTGATCCGGGAGAGGGGAGCAGCGGGCGGTTGGGCCAGGGCCGAGATCAATTCGATATGAGTGAACCTTCTTTTGCAGTGCTATCTCCAGTGTTTGTGTCCGTACGGATACCCAAAGGATAAGATCCGAGGCTGGAGTGCTATGTCATTGTACAGAATACACATTACTATGTATAGGTATAAGGTAGGTAGGGCTCGCTCGGCACGGGAAAGCAGGACAGGATGCTGCGGCTTGCGTTGTGATATGCTGCAGGTCATCAAAAACATCATCAGACGAGGCGGAAAGGGCCTGGGCCAACACGGCCACCTACACAAATCAGGCGCAACCTCGTGGCTACCCAGGTTGGGTTCCATGCTTCCCTCAAGAGAGACACATTGCAGCAGTACGTCTGCACCTGGATGAGCATCGAGACATCCCCGGCACCCCTGTTTGCGCGCGTGTATGTCGTGGGTGTCGTGCCGCTGCCACAATCTGCAGGCTGCGCGTTGCGTGCTGCTGGGGCTTGGCTTTTGTGTCCAGACTCCGCTCCAATGTGCTGTCAATGTCATAATCGTCACTCTTACACGCGCAGACACACACGCAGAGTACTTGTGTATTCGTATCCAGGTAGCTGCGTACAGAAGTATCTGTCTGTAGACTGCGTGTTGAACACGAAGAAACGCCTCCCCCGGTACGGACGTATGAAGAAAGAGACAGGCAGATGAGTTGCAGATTCCTCTGAGACTCATGTCTCGTCCAGCACGACCAGCAGCATCTCAGCAAGCCCACCCCTGCCTCACGTTGGGATTGGTTCGGCACGACGAGACCCCTCTTTCCCAGGGATTGCTTATATTCCCCGTTTACTTATTACATAGTACCCGTATAAGTTGTCAGTGGTTGTGTGGTTTGTGTGTGGTTGATCTTGGAAAAAAACAAAACATGACGCCCTATCCGCAAACTGGGACCTAATCCGCCGGCACTAAGAGAAAATCCATAACTCTCCGATCGATAGACGAAGCAAGACTTGTCAAAAAAAAAAAAAAAGTCGATAGTCGACAGGAGGAGTCCCAGGGACAGGCCCCCCGAGACGTCTACCATCTGGGCAAAGATCCGGGGAAGACGGACCAATGGGCGATGCGTCGAGTGGCGTAAAAGGAGGTGCTACATCTCGCTCTATGAAGAGGTTTAGCAAGTTTAGCAAGTTTTGGTCTAGTTGTGGAAAGTCTTTTCTTTGCTTTTTCCTATTTGCCCCTCAACGAGTCAACCTCTTCGGGCTCATTCCCGCTGGAATATGGATCCGCGATGAAATTCAAATCTTCGCAAACCGCGTCAAAGACAAGAACCTCGGAATGGTTAGTGGAGATGGCCTGATAAAGCCCTTTTACCCGTCGTCTTGGTCTCGCTTCCCGTGGGCTCGTATGCTTGCGTTCTTGGTTGACGTTGTAGTAGCCCGCACATTGCAGGTTGAGTTTGTTCTGCCCGAGCTCTCTGCCCGAGCTTTCTGCCCGAGCATTTTGCCTGAGCGTAATAATATGTGTACGATCATGTCAAGTTGCACTCTCGGCTCTATGCTTCATCGTTGCCTTTTGCTACCCAACACCAACACACAACTGATACGTAAAGGATGCAATGTAATCAAATAAGACGACTCAATCCCACGTTAGGCTCTGCTCTGCTCCACCTCAATCTCAAAACGACAAAGCAAAACGCCCGTTCCAACAAAGCTGTACTTGGCTACCTGTGCCCAGTGACATATCACACCACCGGCACTCGTCCAAACACCTTAATATTGAATTGCTACCGATATTTCCCATCCCATCATTACTCCGTAGTCCGTACCATCCCCTTGCAACCCTTTCCTCCTCGCCAAACCCGAAAAATGTGACGAATGACGACCCGATCGACTGGGCCTGACGATTGCGCTTGGGAAGAGCCAAAGAAAGTTGCCGACATGCAGCAGCCCAGCCCACCCCCCGTTCCGTTGGTGCTGACGGACTGGAGCCTGACAGAAATGCTGACGGATTATGGCCAGCATGGATGGACTAACTACCTGAACTTGGGTTGATCGTACTTGTTCGGACCTGGAACACCACCACCAACTTAAACTTATTCAGTCCTTCCTCTGCCCGGATGCTAGCTGAGGGATCCGAGAAGCGAACATGATGTGATGCCACGATGCTCTCCCTACCTACTGGGTCCCCCAAGTCTCACCATCCGATTCCGACTCCCGACTATCCCTAGCCTCGCTTCAGCGTGACGTGACAACCTTGGCCCAAATCCCCAACCCCAGCCATCACGAACATATCAATCCTCACAAAATAGGATTCCGATCCACGTGAAGAATTTTTTCCCATCACACACACCCACCCCCCGATTCACTTAGCTAGGTAGAGTGCTACGGATACACCAAATCAAAACCCAGTGTCCAGTGGTCCACAGCTCAAGTCATAGCTAAACCCTACACAGCAGTCCTTGACGAACAACGACTCAAAAAAGCAAATATACAGCGTCCCCCGGCTCCCACGGAATCGCCTTCCGGGGCCTACCACCACCAAAGGCACCAACCACTGACACCACCACGATCGACAAGCCACGCGCCGCGCGCCCGCTTTCCCAGCTGCCCCCCAAAAGAGAGAGACATGGGGCTGCTGCCGCTGCCCTTTCCTTGCGTCTCTGCATGATAGGTACTCACTGTTGTAGGTACTCCCGTCGGATGTCCCTCTTCGACGATCAGCGGTGTGTCGTGCGTTCTGCGTAGGTGGGTTCTTTTTGGCTTCTTGTAAATCACGTAAAACGCTCAACGGCCGAGATAGGGACGAGAGAAGCTGAACGGGCAGAGAGAACCTGGTCAAGCTGGTGTCAAGCTGGCGCTTGGGAGCGGCGCTCGGATGAACAAGGGTCTTGGAGGCTATGGATACAGATACACAAGGGAGCATTAAAAGGGATACACTTTTTCATATTCGATGCCAAAGATGGTTAAAGTGGCTGAACAGCTAGTCATACTGGTCCTACCAACATCCGATACCCATCATCTATCCGTATCTGTTCCACACTCGAGGGTCTAATAATTGACCTTCTTTACCCCCTTGCACGGCAGTCGGGTTCGTATGGTATACAAACTACTTCGTACCAGCCTTAAACTATCGCGTAGACAATAGCCGCTCTTATTTCGAACATTGCAACAGATGGAGGATCGGGGTCGTAATCATGACTTCTCCAGCAACGAGTGAACACCAGGACGATGTACATATCTCCACGGTCGTCATCGCGCCACTGCTGTGGCACCGGAACTGCATTCCTTCGCCATGGCGGCTGGCTTGAGTGTCTCAAAATGGGTATTTCAGGAAGAATGGCTCGCAGAGTCGCAGTCCTCCTTGCTTCCGGCTTCACACGTATTATCGAGCCTGGCCAAAATGGCCCCTGAGCGTGTTCCCCGAATGTCGCCTTGGACGATACCCCCCGTAGTCTCTCGACAGTGTTGTAGCCATTCGGAGGATTTGCACGAAACCGGGTCCCTTTGCGCACGTTGCACAGTTTTGTCGATGACGATTTGGCTTGGCTCCTGGCCTCCCTCAAGAGCCGCATGTCAGGCCCTCCGCGTTTCTCCACTCCACGACGCCCGTCAAAGAAACTGAAATGCTTGGGTTCGACGCACGGTGTTACGTTGGCGGATATGCGTGGAGCTAGAGTTGCACAAACACCTGACATTTTGCGTGGCGACGGCAAAAAGAAAGCCTTCACAAGTCTGATTCGCTGTCTTGCTGGGCCGCATGAGGGACCTAGACGGTGGCTTGGGGCGGTCTGGGAGGGTTCTTGGCGCCATGATTCAAGTCCTGATTTGCATAGAAATGCAGGAGATACTCTGCAAAGGCTAGGCGAATACTGAGCTGTCGACTGTGTCAACCATTCTGCCTGATACCGGCGCAGATAATCGCCAAGTGGCCTCTACTTAGGCGCTCGTGCTGAAATAGTAGTTCTCCCACAGATACTCGTAGTCCTCTAGAATGCCACCGACAAGGTTGGGTACTCTAGATCGTACGCCGCCAACAACACCCTTCATGATGTTCTCATAGAGTGCTCCGCGCATGGTCCACCAACCCATGGCCCAGCCTCTCTTGCTCCATTCGTCGCGTTCGAGTGGCGTTGTCCTGAGGCCCCGGTCTCTGAGTTGCCGTGCTGCGTATTCGACGCTCAGGCCGACGAGCCAGGGTGTCCATGACTTCTTATTCTTGCTTTTCGATAGAGCAATGGCATACACCAACGGCGCGAGGATGTGTAGTACCTCTGCGGCCTGTGCACTGCCCTGTAGCTGGTTCAGCAGCTTTGCAGCTGGTTTGATATCCTCTGCCGTCAACACCTTGCCCAGGAGATAGCCGCTAATGTCACCAGCGTTGGGCAGCGAGGGAAGACTCATGCCAGTCCTGGGCATCGTCCAGTCTTTATCATGAAGCTTCTGCGCCTCTTCGCTGTCTTCCGGTGCGTGCCCATTGGTCTGCTCTTCCAAGATATCCTTCAGAGCACCGTCGCTTTCGGCCTCGGGTTCTTCAGGGATCGGCTCACGTTCCGGGAGAACAGGCGACACAAGAGGACGAGAGCGCGTCACGCGCAATAATAACAGGCGGCAAATGGCCTTGATGGCCTCCAAGAGCACGACGACGCGCCATCGACTGCGCTCGCCACCACGCCTCTTGGCAGCCATCTCGCACAGTAGTTGTGTGTATGTGACCATTTGCAGTAACATGGCAATGCGCCGGTACATGGGACTGCGCTGAGTCCAGTATTTCGTATATCGGGCATGAGGGGATGGCAGTCGGGCCATCGGGATGCGCGACAAGGCGCGCATGAGAAGGGTATCATGATAAAGAGAAAGGAGCTGTACACTCGAATGGACGGTTTCGGAAGCAATCTCGGCGTCGCGGAATCGACCTTTTGAAGCAGTGTTAGGCCGGCGATAGCGAAAACAGTTTTCTACGGGGAGGCGCCTTACCAGGGATGATGTAGGTGAGGGACCGTAAGGCCGACTCTATCTGGGAGACCTGACTAGAATTCTTGGTGATGAACTCTTCGTACATGTGAAGCCATTGCGGCGGTAATGAGAGAACGGCGCGGATCTTGGACGGTTGATGCGATAACCGCGTCTTATTGGGGATATCGGCGGATGTCGACATGGTGGAAGATTCAGATCATTAGGACGTGGCGGAGGTTGCGCACCGAGCAGTTGGACCGAGGTGGAATTGAACAAGTACAGAGGAAAAGCGCGCGGCGGTAATGTCAGCACGAAGATAATGAAAGAAGAGCGCCAGATATCAAGATGAAGTGGTTGTCAATGACACTGACGATGTGTAAAAGGAAGGGAAAGTGGTTGGCGGAAGCGCGAATTAGGTATTAACGTAGGTAAGCTCACAAACGCCAGAGTCGAGATGGTGCAGGTGCAGCGGGATGGTTTAATGACGGAAAGTTGCAGGGACCTCGGGGGGCACACGCTCATCGCGACGGGACTGACGTGGAGTGCGCCTGTAGGTTGGTTGATACTTGCTCCTGCTGGTCTGAGCCCGCGGGCGACCGACGGTAAGCCGAGGTCGCCTGCCACCTCCCGGCCCTGCCACCTCAGGCAATTGCGCTGGGTCGCTGGCATGAGATAGGAAAGTGCATCATCACCCGCCTGTCCTACGCATTGGGCCAATAAGATTACGTTACATGCCTCGGTAAGGGCAATCCCTGCTAACCCAGAGCCCGTCTACTTGCATACTTACACTACATCGCGACTCCACTATCGAATCTCTACATGATTGACATATCCTTATGGACGTTGAAATGAGCCTTACGACGACATGACAACGATACGTCACGCACATTATACCTTGAAATGCGTTGGCTCATCGTGAACATCTTTTTATTGGCAAAAAGCGATTGGCCTTTGCGCTCTAGAACCTCTCATCATAAGGTAGCGAAGCACTCTTGTGCCAGTGACAACTCGTCAACAAAGCTGCAACAAGTACTCGGAAGGGGGCTCGAGACAGCCTGCCCCGAAGCGCAATGTCGTCTTCATCTCGAATGGAAATGGTAGGGTATCACAAAAACAAAATGCCTTGCCCGAGGCCAAACTCCTGTGCGGGCAGAACGAGGCCCCGCCTTTGATCTCAAGTCCACTCATACATAGAGGTCCATGTTATAGCTGAATGGGTTCGATATGACTACCTCTTGTCTTGGTGCAGCATTGCTCGAGTCTTCAATCCGATCGGATCAGATTCTCTCAAACCCAGCATCTGCTAGCTCGACACCGGTAGGGAGCATCGGCCGCCCCTGCATCGGGAAGGGCCAGAAGAGAGGATTCTCCAGCACCTTGGCCGCCCGTTCAACCGATGCTTGTCCTGGTTCCGTGGGTTTCAGGCCCATTGCTACCGCCGGGTTCGGTACATCAGCGGCATCGGCGCCGCCTCCCCAAGCGCAAATGAAGTCATCTTCAATGACGTTTGGTGCAAAGAAGTTGAGACTGCTTGTGTACGGCCTGACGAGATGTGCATACTCGGCATCCGAGGCTACCTCGCCGCCCATGTCGACGTCCATCTTCCACTTCTTCGCAAGGTACCGTAGTATGTTCAGCGCCTGTTCGGCAAAATGATGGCACGGCGCCATCTCCTCTAGATCCCGGATCCCTTGCTGAATAGCTTCCACAACGCGAGGCGGATACGAGGGTGGATCGTCGGGGTCGGTGTTGTCCGGACCTGGTCCTTCGAAAGCCTTCTGCAACGATAATGACGAGGAAGTTGTGGCACCGATGGCTAAATGCATAATGGCCGATGTGAGCACAAAGTACGGAACAAACGATGGTGTCCGGCGTAATGTGTACAGCTGCGAATAGGATCGCAAGAGGCCTTGGATAGCATCTGCCGCCTGCCCACATACGTCTCGAGGTAGCAGCTTAGACCCAATGATCTTCAGCTTAATTAGGGGCCGAAACAGAAGCAGGATCGCAAAGTGGTAGTACATGCTATGGCGATATTCGGTCAGTGCGTGTCGCAGTCATCTCTCTCTCTCTCTCTCTCTGGAATGAACTTACTGCGCGAAAAGGACTGCCGGCGTGAAATTGTGCCCCAGTCTCAGAACCTCTGGTATCTTGTCATACCAGTTGAGGTACTGAGTATAAATGCCGAGGAGATCACGGCTAGTCAGCGGCCGCCCCGGGGAGTGCAAAACGTAAAGGCTTTGGTGCACGAGCTCGCTCAGTTCACAAAAGCACTTATACACGGATCGAACGTTGGATGGCTGCTCGGCGGACCGCTGCAATGGTGCGCCTATCGATAAACCTGAGCCTCTAGCGCTTGGGGAGCCAGAAGCCTCGCCTAGGTTTATTAAAGACTTACCATCGTCAGTGTAGGGGATCCAAAGAGAGGCTTCTATGTCATCTATTATGGCAGGCTTTGGCGGCAGACGAGGAAAGCAGGAACATTGCGGAAGCGAGCCGGTCGCTAAAGACCATGCACTAGGAGAAAATCAGCTTGCAAGACATGGTGTAGGTTATCGTATAGAGGGCTTACTGGTCGAGAGCGAATGCGCCCCAGAAAGTTGCAGCCTGAACCGCAAACTCATCATCATCTCCGTCTTCCTCGAGCTGATGGAGTCCCATCTCGATAGCCAGACGAATGCTTTGTCCAGCATAGTACCAGCTTTCCGAGTCTCTGCCACAGCTGGCTTCTCGAATAGACATTATTCCCAGAGCTTGGATGGTGGTGAGATTGTGATGGTTTTTCTCCTTGTAAAATAGGCTCTGCGCCTCTTTGAAGAAGTGATCGCCGGACGTGTACGGGTCGTTGGGATTCGCTCTTGTGCTCGGCTTGCTGGAAAACCGGCACCCGAGGGCCAAGAGTGCGTTCACGAGTATTGGGGAGCAGTAGCGTTCGACGCCATTCTGGAAATCCCTCAGAAAATGCTCCTTACTCAGAGAAGCAAAGGTCGGATACTCCCAACAGAAGTATAGGGCCAGCAGATGCTGTACCAACGAGCCGTCCTCCGTAATGTTTGTCCATTCTTCAGGGGCCAGCTTCATGTCAGGCAATTCTAACGGCGCTAACAACTGTTCGGCGCCTTGATGCTTCGAGCCGCCCTCAGAAGCTTCCGTGTTGCTTGCAGACTCAGCCCAGGTATCGAACAGTCCCTGTGGCGGCCTACTGGTGTCTGCGCTCCAGTTCATTGCGTCAGGATGAGAGTTGCTTCGGGTGCTCTGGCTGTGTGACGAAGGGTGCCAGGGGCTGTTCGCATCAATCTCCTGGCGCAAGCCAGACTGCCCAGTAACCGGGCTCATAGCTACAGAGCCATGATCTCCCAAGTTCCTGGTTCTGATGGGTGCCGGAGGAAACCCCGGAAGAGTCCCTGGGCCTGCGCTCGCATCACTGGAATGTTCGTTTGGGCGCGCGAAAGAAGTCGCACCACCACCCGACGGCAGAGTACCAATATAGTCCGAGACTGATTCAAGCGATTGACCACTGCGCAATCGTTGCAACACATCCTCCCACATATCGGAGCGAACGAGGGCGGCCATGACCTGGTCGCTACTTTTCTGGCGTTGGCGCAAATGCTCGAGCTCGGTTCGGAGATTTTCCTTGGATTGGCGGACTGGGACCTCGTAAACACATTCTACGTCCTTCTGAGCCTTACAACGACCGCAAGGTCTTTGTCCGTCGCACTATTTGCGAATGTGTCAGCGCAAAGACAGCGTAGGTGGGCGCGGGGGTACCATCTGGTGTTGGCTTACTTTTGCTCGCTTCTTGCGGCACTCGGTACAGGCATTGGGCGTGACCACTCCTAGCCCTCTCCTCCTCTTGGACAGTTGAGCAGCACTGGAGCTGCTTGACGGCGTAGGCGCATTGAGAGGGGCGGAGGTAGAAGAGGAAGCGGTTGCAGGTGGTGCCCCCGCGGAGGAAGCAGAGCCGGCGGCTGGTTGAGGCTGCTGTTGGCTATCGGGTGCCTCCTCCATATCGGCAGTAGTTGAGCGCTTCAGGTTGACTGGTTGTAGCCTCGTGCCGAGTCTACAGGGCGAACTCGACTTTTAGGACTTTGTTTGTGAATTGACATAATGAGGCCGTTCAAAGGCGGGAGCTGGTCGTCATAGATCCGAGAAAAGAAGAAAAAAGTTCGGACAGGTGTGGCCTAGCAGCAGTGCCACCCAGTAGCAGCGTTGAGTGTCTAGATGGTTCGCGCAAGGTAGAGAGCTGACCAGAAGGCGCGCGCAGGGAAGGCGTCGCGCGTAGGAGTCGAAAGAATCGCGGTAGATGGCCCAGGGCGGCTGGATTGCGCAGTAGGTGAATTGACCGTTACTAGCTGTCGGTGCTATCGTTGTCGTCGAGCGGCAGACAAGCGAGCGGTGTCAAGAGACGGGAGGATGGGAGGTTCGCAGCGAGAACTGCCCCTCTTTGGTAAAGGCACTTGCTATCGAACCATGCGCTCGGTGTACAATTGGATATGCGATTATCCTGTGGAGAAAGGTTATGTGACACTTTGCAATTATTGTGCGCCAGCCGTCAGGATGTCATTAGGCAGGTGGAAAATGGCGTGAGTGGTGAATGACTGAAAAGGATATGAGGCAGGGAGCGCAAAATTTGGGCAGCCCGTGATGAAGAGAAGCGGGTGGTGGGAAAGGCGGGAAGGGATGGCAGTGTGCAGCGAGCGGCCAGGTCGGGTCCCCAGTCACAGAGAGAGAGAAGACGGCCGAGGCGACGGAAGGAGAAAGAGACGGTAGATGAAGCACAGACACACAAGATGCAGTTCCGTAAAGCAAGTACGGAGGAGGTATGTTACGAATACAGACGGGAGGGAACTGGAAGGGAAGGAAGCACGGAAGGTAAGGTAAGGTAGGTAGGTACCTTGGCCTTGGTCCTGCCTCCTTGGTTCTTGGGAAGGAGGTAGGTACGGATATGTGACAGGGCAGCTCCTTCCCCAGATTCCCGAGCTTCCAGCCGCGCAAGGTCCAGCTACCTGAAATTGTACCTTACTCCGTACACACTATGCCCTCGAGGCGAGAGGGGTAGGTGAAACTTTTTTGCTTCAAAGGCAGGGCTGGGACGCCTCAGGCAAATCTGAAAGAAGTTGAGACTGACTTCTTTTCAGCTGAATCAAGTACCTGCGCTTCTTTCTGTTCTCTAAGAAATGACTGGCTAGCGGTGACAAAGGCAAGCAAGGCACAGTGGCACACGCATTGAGGTAAGCAAGTATCCAAAGGATATCCAAGGTATGCAGCTTCGACTAGGAGGGTTGCAGATTGAGCTTCATGCAGCCGATTTATGGCTTGGACAAGTAAGCTTCTTTGATTCCGCGTTTCTACATGATTTGTAGTACAGAATTTCGCCCATTTTGAGTCCCAGAAATCATTTGCTACCCAAAAATATTTCATCTCATGAGCAAGAAAGCCAAGCGAGTTGCGATGGTTCTTTTCAGATAAGCGGCACTACGTCACTTGTTAGCGGTAACTATCTCCACTTTCTCTGTAATCCCATCAGCTAGAAATCTGCCCGTCTTCCCTGCCCCCGAGTCCGAGCGCCAGCAAAGCGTATTTTTTTTATTCATTTTCTTTTGCAGGTTCTCAGTTCACGGTACGGATAAGGCGCCCGTATATCTCGCTCCGTTTTCTGTGCGTAACTGACGATCCAACGAACCAAGGCACCTAGCCTAGTCTGCTGCCGCTAAGAGCCGTAGGTCGTCCTGATTTGGTTGCTCCAAGCCGGCAGTCGACTATTCTGGAAACCAGTGCAGTTCTTCCACCCAGAGACCATCTTATCCCATGAGGACCTACTTTCAAGTGAAGTTTGGATGCCCCGGGTACCTACCAGGCACAAGCCACAGGCAACTCCAGGGCTCTTGAGGGCACGAGGGGTTCGTTGAGACAGATATCAGGATCGAATTTCGAAAGGCCGGGCTGGAACTTTTCCTCCGCCAGATAGTCCACTTTGCGATGCTGTACTGCGATTATGGGGCATCGAGCATAACGCGTTCTTGCAAAAACCCTGGTCGGCGACCCTCACATTGTCAGGGGTTTCCCTTGCCCGCTAGAGCAGAGGTACCTGAGGTGGTTGCCAAGTTGGAGCTCTGATACGACGGTGTCCTGGCACATCTTCATCGTGATTACCCAGGCATCCCGAGGCTGGATGTGGATGGATGGTCTCTTCCGACTGGAGAGTGAGCCTTAATTGTGGAAGAATTAGGTTTTTTCTTGCTGCCCCCGCGCCGATAGACACAGACAACGAAGCCTTCGGTATTGCAAACTTTTGCTCCGGGGCTTCATGTAGACATATATCTACGCATGAAAAGAGGCAACAAGACATGGAACTCCTTGCCTTGAAAACCCGGGCCCCGGGGCACACATGGGCTGAACGGTTGAACGATACCCAACTCCCAGCCCGAACATGCGCCATGCTGAGGCGTTTCGAAAGATACACTACACTCCCGGAAGAAAGAATAAGCCACAACATAACCAAACATCCCACCCATGCCGCCGCAAAAGCTTGCGACATCTTGGCTTGTGCGACCAACGCTTAGCTCGCTCGCTCGCCCACGCGCTCTATCGTCGGCCAACATTCCAAGGTGTTTGGTCCCCGACCCCTCTCCTCCGAGACAAGTTCCGGTTGGCAGCAAAAATAAGTGTCTTTGCCGAACGCATGCACGCAGGGCAGCTCTGGGGGTCCAATAACTGATGCTTCGGGGTAGCACATCATCCCCCAGCAAGCCGCCAGGATAGATCATAGCCCAGGGGAGACGGAATCTACTCCGTCGCGTCAGCTGGTTGCGCTTTAGGTATATGAGTCTGGGTTAAACAAGGCGGGTTGCTATTAGATAGGCAGGCAAAGTTCTGTTGGGATCTGCTAAGGACAAATGCCTTACGGAGTCTTGTGAGGCTTCAGCAGTTCAGCCTCAGGAGCTATTCGGGTTTCCTCCGTTCCAGCGCTGGATCGGTAGTAGAATGCGATGCCGCGATTCAGGAAACCCCAATTCGAATGGTCCCATTCGTTGGAGGTGGAGACCATATTTTGACTGGGCCGAATTCTCCGTCAAGGGCCGTTCCTTTGACGTCATTAAAATCGAACTGGGCCTAGCCCGATTATCGATAAGAGCAAGCCCACTGACTGATTCTCGTATCCGTACCTTACCTTACCTAAGCCCAGGCGCCTGAAGCTCAAGTTCCAGTGTAAGAGATGCGGTTGTAGCCAGACGATGGTTGTATCGCTCAGCTTACGATTAAAGATATGGACAAATGAACTTTTCGGTATTGTGAGTAGTCGCAGGGATGAGGTTCCTGCGAGTCTCTGTGTGTCTGCAAAACAACGTATCCTGATCCGCCAGTGGAAGTAGTAGCTGAAGCCCACTCCATCTCGTCCCGAGCCTCCAGATGACGCCGCATCTGGCCCCCAAAACCTGGTTCCTGAATATGTACTTTATACAATTAAACCTTGCAACTCCGATCCCATGCATTGTGTACCCCTGTTTCTCTGTTCGCACTCACTCCTGCGTAGGATAGTTAGTATCCTTGAGAGTCTCCTTACAAGCCTGCTTCTACTTCCTCAGTAACCCTTCATGGGGCTCAGGCCTCCGCCTCCATACTTCGTTGGGCTTCGCAGACGGTCGCGGTCACCCTTGCTTGGGCTGCGGCGTCCTGAAGGGGTTCGAGGCGGCATGATCGCCTTCATCTTTGGCGGCGATGCACCGTCGGTGTCGGTGTCGTCGTTGTCGTACTGAAGATGTCGACGGTGCGATGGCGTCTGGACGGGAACCCACATGTATGCCTGAGAGGGTTCCGGAATCACCGATGGCTCGGGAGCCATGCCAGACCCAGCGTGGTGTGATGGGGTAGGGCGGCTTGGGCCGGCATTGTTCGCCATACGTCCCAGAGCCAGGTTATTGGCAACGATGCTGAGGAAAACGACGCCAAAGAAGAAGAGCTGTAGTTATTTAGCTGAGATGTCATAAGATAGGACGGGAGATGTTACTTACCCAAGCTTTCATCTGCATGGCACCAGCAAATTCGTTGAGGATTTCGGCGATTTGCTTAACCGTGACCCGAACTCTCATGATGGCTGACGAGTCCTGGATCATACATTCGGCCCACTCATCGCACATGGCCTTCAGAGCAGGCCGGTCCTTCTTGATACACTCGTTGAGAGTGTATTCCGTCCGGCACTGAGTGATCCTATTCTCAATGTCCAACCGAGCTGCATCGTTGGCGTTTCGAATATCCGACCGCACAGTATCGAACATGGTCCAGCAGATGAACACAAAGCCCGATACAATAGCGCAGTTGATCAGAAGTTGCATCCATCTGTAGAGATTCTCGGGCGCATTCGGGTGCTCCTCCAATGTGTGGAAGAGGTTGCTGATCCAGCTGCGACCATTCTTCCTCTTTCTGCTGCTCTTGCCACCACGCGCACCTGACGAGCGAGATCCACTGTCGTCCGAGTCCTCTTCCGATCCATCCCAATCCTGTGATCCGTGGAATCGCACACTACCAACGTCCCTGTCCATGTTGTGTCGCTTCCGCTTCCTTATAGCGGGGTAGTCTCGTCCACTTCGGGGGATCTCGCCCTTGCCGGGTACATGTCGCTTCAATGACTGAAGGCCAGCCTTGCCGTAGCGAAGGTTCTTGTTGACCTTGGATGGCGTGATGGTTCCCATATTCATGTCGCCGAATCTATCAACGTCGGGTGTGTCGTCTGGAAACTCCGAATTTTCCGTCAAGGCGGGGCTGGTCTCTGCGCCTGAAGCTTCCGAAAAGGCACTCTCGTCGAACGGTTTGCGCGGGGTAGTGAAGGCAGGGTTTCGGAATGGCGGCGCGGTATTGCTACTCTGGATCCTAGGCGAGAAGAGAGATGTCTGTGGGAGGGCTGGAAGCGGCTTTGATGGGGTGTTTGCGAAGAGGTTCGGCTTGGAGGGGCTAGAGAATGGGTTGGGCTTGGAGCTTGTGGCGAATTTGTTTGGTGACTTAAAGACTGTGCAAAGGCAGGAAGGTCAGTAGGAATTTCGACGTAGAGGCCAGCGTATGACCTATGACGATCGTGGGGACATCGCGACGGGAGGTGAGCTCACTGTTCTGGTTGCTACTTTTCGCAACGTGGGAAAATGGGCTGGTCGCATCTAACGGACCTCGGTCCTGGTATTCCCATTCCATGGGACTTTCGTAGGTTCGGCGATCCATTGTGAACTTCTTTGCATGCGATAACCTGGGGAGACAAAGTGAAGTGGTGTTGGTTGTGGGTGGGAAGTGCTTAGCAGCTCTCGTCGCGATCGGTCCGGGGGTGGCGGCCAAGGGTCGAAATATTCTGGCTGCTGTCCAGAACAAACCACAGTTCTAGAAATCAAAGTAAACAAACCGTGCCTCAGGCAACAGAATCTCCCGGTGGCTTCCATTTTAGCTTGACTGGAGAAAGTACGTACCGAAACGAACCAAGAGCTTTTTGTGCACCAGCCACAGCCGAGGAAAGATGACCCACTACTGAGGCTGGTATCGCCTTCCCAGTCCCTTTAACGACTTGAGCTTGGGCCATCTGAAAATCGAAGGGCAACGACGACGAGGCAGGCGGCTGGCTGTTTCTACACCTTCCATTTCATTGAGATCAAACCAATCCTCACTCATCAACCCCCAGAGTCGCGCTTCGAATATTTCAACACAGCGAGCGCACATCTGAATCAGTCACGATGTCGGATATCGAATCCCTCCCCGAGTCCCCGGCGCCCGACCGCGATGATGCCGCCAACGTCTCCGACGACGACTTGCTATCAGAAATCGACGAGGATCAGTTCGAGGACTACGACCCAGAGACGGCAAACATTGAGGATCGCCCAGTAGCTGTCGACGAAGATGTGGCCAAGACGCTCAAGGCGTCGAAGCGCAAGATCGCGGATGGCGCAAAAGCGAAGAAGCCCAAGGAAGGACGCCGGGAGAAGAGATCACGCGATGACGAAGTCTCTGGCAATATGGATATCGATTCGAGAGGCCCGGCCCGAAAGTCGAGACGCCAGGCCGATGCCGGCGAGAGGAAGCCGCGGCCCAGCAAGCCTGCCGAGCCTCAGATTGACGATGAATCCCATCTCAGCCCCGAGGAGCGCAGACGGCGGGCGATTGATCGGGCGTTGGATGCGGCTATGAAGGGACCCGTCAAGCGCAAGAAGAAGAAGGACGAGATTGTGGGTAGCATCGCGTTATTTGTGGTATTGGGAGTGCTAGCTGACAGGGGACAATGCAGGACCTCGACGACGAAATCGATGAGGAGATTGCCGATCTCAAGGTCGCCATGGAGAAGGCTTGCGAAGCTGACAACACAGCGCGCGAGGCTGGCCAGCCAGCTGTTCACAAGCTGAAGCTCCTACCAGCAGTGACCGGCCTCCTAAACAGAAACAACATTCAGCACGCAATCCTCGATCCCGATAACAACTTCCTCCAGCACGTCAAGTTCTTCCTCGAACCGTTGAACGACGGCAGTCTACCGGCGTACAATATCCAGCGCGACATCTTCACCCAGCTTATTCGGCTCCCCATAGAGAAGGAGACGTTGCTGAGCAGTGGCATCGGAAAGGTCGTCTACTTCTACACCCGCTCCAAGAGACCCGAACCCAGCATCAAGCGCATGGCTGAGCGTCTCCTGGGTGACTGGAGCCGACCGATCCTCAAGCGGACTGACGACTACAAGAAGCGCCACGTCGAGACGCGCGAGTTCGACTACGAGTATGTCATACGTGTAGATCGCCTCCTGAACACAATGCTAACACTCTTACTACAGAGCTCTCAAAATGTCCCAGCGCCAGGCCGGAAGCTCCCAGTTCACACTCACGCAGCGCCCATCCCAGTCCGCCAGAGAACTGGAACGCGAGGCTATGCTCGCGCCCGTCGCTACGTCGAACCGTGCCCGTCCCGGAGGTCTTCCCGACAGCTACACCATCGCACCCAAGAGCACCTACGATGTCTCGCGGGCGCCCGAGCATCGCCCCATTGGTGCTGGCGGTCTAGAGGCGTTCCGCAAGATGACCCAGAACCGCAAGAAGCGGTAAGGAAAGAGGCCATGGTAGTTACTAGGATGGGCTGGAGAACAGCCACATGGGCCCCGGTAGGGGGCGATGATTTTCCTTCACTGGGCTTGATGAAAAAAGGACCTCATCGCTTGTATTATTTGAGCATCAAATTGGCGTTCCGGGTCGAGGGCTGTGGTAGCAGGAATTTCTAGGAATCGAGAAGAAAGAAAGAATGCAAACAATTTCAAGTAACCGAGCGAAGAGACTCCAGCTTCTCCATTCTGCCAATGTGCACAATCCAGACCCTGTGCAAAAAGTATTTGCCTAGAAGGGTGCGGCGGGGTATCTGGAGTTCATCCAGGTACTAAGGATTCAATGCGCAACGTGAAGCAAGATGAAGAAAAAGCAAGCCCACTAGATTGCCCTGAACGTTGCATAATTTCCTTCCTTTGAATAGAGGTCTCCGGCGCACCCTCCATTTGAATACATCAGTAGCAAAACAGCAACTACAAGGTCACAGGCGTGAGAGCTTCAGGTACTGCCTGTCGAAAGGGCCAGCGAGTAAGTCGACTCGTCTACCTGAAGCTCGTCAATGGTTCATTGACAGTTTGGGCACAAGGTCTGTATGTTCGATCATAGGGCAAGAGCTTCCTATTTGGTCCCCCCCTGTTCCTGTTCTCCTAGAATTCTATTCATTGGGTTGACAGAAACTGTCTAATACCGGCTATGCTTCACCTCTCAAGGTTTGGCATTCTCGTCCCTCACACCCCTCCCCTTTAGTTTCCTTCCTTTCTCCCATCGTTCCTTCCTTCCTCACTCCCTCCCTCCTCCGCCGTCTGCTCCTCCCCTCTATTATTTGCAGTACTTTCATCGTGTTGCAGTTTTTGAGTATGACAGCGTACAAAGCGCTTCTGTGTGTTTGAGCACGTACAAGGAGCGGAACCTCGCGTATTGTGCTATGAAAAGGTGCGAAAATCAAAGCCAAAGTCAGGGTACAACGCTGGCGACAAAGATGCAGAAATGCTGATGGGGAGCCCGTGACCGTTCATATAAATTACGTTAATATCTTTGGTGGCCCCCCCCCCCCCCCCCCCCCCCCTGCATTCAAAGTGGTCATCGTTTCTGTCCTCCTTACCGTTTCCGCACCTCAGTCGACCAGCCATCGATGCCCTCACCTCGGCTACCAACCTCAAGTCCATTGATTCGGACACCCCTCATGCCCGGCGTGTCTTCGAGCCACAAATGACCAGCCATACCTCCAGCGTTGGCACGCTTCTCGGGTACCAGCTCAAGCATGGGCGTCAAGAAATCGGCGATGCGCTTCCCCTCCTCCTCTTTGAAATGATATTTCTCACGGAGGACGTCCGTCAGAGCCCAGTGGCGCAAGCGGTGAATGTTTCGCAGCTCGCCTTTTCGGTTGAAAATCTCTTGGGACCATTTGCCGGACAGGCAAAGTGACTTGGGGAAGGGCCCCAAAAGCTCGATAATTTGTGCAATGTGGTCGTCGTCCTTTCCATACTTGGTTCCGGATTGAGGGTCGAAGAGATAATCTCCTGTGATCAGTTCGAAAACCTAGAGCCACATTGTTAGACGAGAAGAGATCAAAGGTGCTTGCTACGGCCCAGAGGACAGTAGCACTGGGTAGGGTATGCTCACCATTGCTGCCATACTCCAAACATCAGTACTGGCTCCCCATTTCGCGCCTAGGATGACCTCAGGTGACCGATACTGCCGGGTCTGGATATCATTGGTAAAGTGGTGGTTGACCCAGCAGGCGTTGCCCAAATCCGCAATCTTGACACTGATAACATCAAATGCATGCGCATCATCCGCCTTGCGCTTATCTCCCGAAGATGGTGAGTTGGTCTTGTCGAGTGAGATGCCGGAAACTTCCTTTGTGAGGAGATCACTGCGACGAGAAAGGGCGGTCAGTATCAGATGAACCCCATACACTATTTAGCTAGGTGGGGTAATGCTCACGCTGTCTTTTCGCGCGTCTTTTGATCGGCGTCGCGCTTGGGGGAAGCGTTGCTTGATGTCTTGCCATCTAAAATCGCAGCAAAGGTCAGCATACGGTCGCTAAGCAGAATATGATGGATGTGGAAGAGAGCGTGGGGCGACAGGCCCGTTGTGAATGAAGTGGCTCAAATCGCGGGGTGTAAAGTGGCGGGTGTTGAGGGGGGCGCGTACCTTCGTGTAGCACTTGGCTGAGGCTTGAGTTGGTGCTAGGGAAAAGGTTGTTGTGGTTGAAGCTGGCATTCAGAGGAGATGGCAGCGGCTGACTGCCAGTGATGAGAGTGCGTCTCCTTCTACGGCCGTTTCTGTTGTTCTCTTTGTCGCCAGGTTCGCTCTTGACGACCTTTTTGACAATCTGTTCGACATCGCCAATCTCGATGAGGACATTCTCGGGCTTCAGATCGGTATGAATGATGCCACATTCGCGGTGTAGGTAATCGAGGCCGAGCAGCACTTGCTTGGTGATCTGCTTGACCAAGGCCGTGGGGATACCTCGATGGTTCCATTTCTTAATCAGACCCAAGAGGTTCTCGCCCAGAACCTCGAAGACCATGCAGACGTGTGTGCCGTTGGGGCCTTTGTGTTCAAAGGAGTCGAGCAAGCTGACGACATGCTTGCGGCCGGGGTGGTCTGGCTTGGCCTGGACAATCTTGTTGAGGAGTTTGATTTCGTCGATGGCGGTCTCGGTGTAGTGCGCGGCAGAGCGGACAACCTTCAAGGCGACATGCTTGCCAGAGGTGTTATCTCTGGAAAGCCAGACGGTGGAGAAATGACCCCATCCAAGCTTGCGCACGATGGTGTATTTTCCTTCCTTGAACTTTTCGCCAATCTGGACGGGGTGGTAGCCGCCCTTGCAGTAATCCTCGGAATCCTCCTCGTCGGCTGTGTTCTCGGCGGGGTCTTCGCCGGATGATGTCGAAGTCGGCGAGTTCTGCATGGCAGCGGACAATTGATGGGTTCTGTTAGAGAGGAAGGAGTTAGCTTCAGTGTCGCAATTGCAAGTCTGTGTAGCTGTGGTTCAGGTCATGGCGCGCAAATTGGCAGGAAGCGGCGTCGTGTCTGTGATTGAAATGGCGGGGGTGGAGAATAGCAGGTCGGCAGGCAAAGATTTCGCAGCCGCCAGACGGGCCACGGAATGCGACAACTGTAGGAAAAAGAAGAGCAGAAACCTTGTCTTTAGGAAGCTCATGTTTGCAACATTGCGCATCCGGCGCGAACAGTCCTATAGCAAAGAAAGGAATGGATCGAAAAAGAGGATCGAAAGAGCCGAGGACCGAGCGATGGGAAAGATCAAAACAACAAGCGGGAAAAGAGAAAATTGGCAGAAATGATGGGTCAGGACAAGATCCAGTGCGAAACTGGTGCCGCTCACAACATGGGAAAGTAAAAGGTTGAATGAAGTGACAGCGGCAAGTCCAGTCGAGGGCCGACTAGGGTGGATAAAGAAAAGGTTGGAAAGGGAAGATGGATGGGAGGGAAAGGATGGTAGGTGGAAGGCGGTCGAGGCGAGGCGAGGCGGCGGGTGAGGCGCGGGATGAGTTCAGCCAGCGAAAAAGAATATAAAAAATAAAAATAAAAAGGCAAATAAAAAACAAGAACAGCAGGCCAGCGTGGTGAAGGTAGGTGTAGTGAGCAAAGAAGGTTTTTTTTTTTTTTTTTTTTTTTAGAGGCAGGTATCCGTAAGGTAGGTACTGAGAAAGAATACAAAGCGTGCGTGCCGCTGTTGCTGCTCTTCTCTCTGTGTGTTCTGTGTTCCTCCCTCTTTCTCACTCTCTCCGGTATCCCCAACTAAAAGGCACTGGAAGCGGGACACTCTGGACGGATAAGGCACAGAAAGGGCACCCCCAGTCGGTAAGGTAGCAAGAAAAAAGCAGGTAATGAGAGGAGAGGAGGGGTCGGTGATGTGAGTGAGGAGAACGGACGGGAACAGCAGGCCAGGAACGGGGGGTCAGAAGGTGGTCTGGCGACGCAATAAGAATCCCAGGTCTGGGCCACTTGGGTCAGGGTCGGGTAGCGTCACCTCAGGCTTCAGGGTCAGGGTGGACGGTGAGGGTCAGCGGGGACTGCCCACCTCAAAGCCAGAGCAGATCGTCCTCCTCCCGTCGGGTTCAGGTTGTATTCGCAGTCGCGTCAGCAGCAACAACCTGCCAGTTGCAGCATACTGGGGTCCTGAGATCCCTTTACCGCGCCTGCACCTACCCCAAGCCACAACTTGGTGGTCGGGGTGTCGGAGGGAGCGTATTGAATATTCGTGATACCTCTCAGACCACCGGATGAGGGTGATGCCAGCTTGGAGTGCCAACCTCTGGTCTCCAAGAGATTCACAGTCCAGTCTGTCTGTCCAATGCAAACCAGGTCATACCAGTCCAGTTCAGTCGAGTCCAGTTGGTCCAGTTGATGATGGCCGATGACGGTGACGGTCATGTCTTGCTCGACAAGTGGTGGCGCCAGAAACGTTCCCGCACCGGTCGGCGCACCTAGTCTGCCAACATGCCACCACCAAATCTCACGCTTTGCGCAGCATGAAGCGTGCCCTTGGCCATCTCTCCTCCAGAATGTTCCGGTGTCCACCGTCGCACAGGTCGAGCGCAGCATGAGGCACATCAACAACATGCACCTCCAACTTCCAAGTGCTGCGCTTCTAGGGTTGTGGTGATGATGTTGCTGCTGCTGCTACTCCTGCTGAGCTACCGGGCGGTGGTGGTGGCGACAGCTGGCGACCCGTAATATCTGCGGTGTGGAGGAGCCGTCCATTCTTCTGGCTGACGTTCAGCGCGCCAAACAAACGTCCATCTCGGGTCCGGCCAATGGCTTCCCTGTGCAACGGCAACGGTAGCGTCCAATCCAGAGCCACCATGTCGTCGGGTATCAGCGTTGGTCCCACTGGATGGATCCCCCTGAGCATCTATTCGTCGTCTGTCGTCTCGTCGTGCTCTTCTACCACGTCTTTGACAGTGCTGTCGCAGCATCTTTCGAAAGGCGGTCCGTTGGTCTGCATATTTCCAGATGCCCGGGTGTGAGACAAGCTGCGCGGCGCGGTGCTGGGCACACTGACTGGACGCTGCCCTCTGCTTTCGCTGCGCGGTGTGCCAACTCGGACTGGGCCGAACTGAACTGGACTGAACCGGACTGAATTGGACTTGGACAGGGCCTGTCGGACTTGACAGGCTCAAACTTGTCTGGTCCGTGTTGCTTGCCCCCCGCCCCCCCCCCCCCCCCCCCCGTACTTCGCCCCGCCATACGGATAGAGCGCAGGGAACAACATGCGGCACCGGGCGCGGCGCTTTTAGACAGGATAGAGGGGTAATAGTGTGGATGGTGGAGGAGGATGAAAGGGTGATAATGTCCTGTGTAAATGAAGCTTGGGGCTCTAAATGGCAACAAGATTGAGGTAATGAAAACCAGCAATTTGCAACTTCCCCGCCATCAAAGAAAACGAAAGTAACACAATGCGGCATGAAGAGTGCAAGGTAGAGCAAAAGAAAAGGAAACGTTCTTGGTCAAACTTACGGTGGTGTCTCGGTGGTAATAATAGGCTTCAGGCTCTCCTTCTTGCGCTTCTTAGCCGCCGTCGACGAACCATTGGCGTTGGCATTGGCATTGGCGGCTGCTGGCTGCAGTGGCTCTTGTGCGACGACGTCTTGGGTCTGTTGAGTGCCGTTCATGATGGGCTTTGTGGAATGTGCAAGCTGGAATGCGAGGTGTCGTCCGGGTCGGGTAGTGTGGGGGACAGGTTGGGGGGACAAGTCGAGCTCGAAGGTCCAGACTGGCAGTTCGAGGGCGGCAGTGCGCGCCGCTGTGACGGCCTGGGATTGGTGATGCTTCGTCCTGTGGGTGAGCAGTCTGAGCTCGGGTATCCGATTGCAGCGCAGCGACTAGAAGCAGCTGTGCGCAGTGTCAATCCGTTATTCCCGTCTGTGATGGCTAGCCTTGCGCCTCGATTGGTATGGTATCAGACAACTTGACAGTTGATGCAGGTGGTTCCCGCGTGAAGATCACGGTCGGACAAGTCGGGCTGCCAGTCGTTGGCAATAGTAGGTGGGGTGGGAGAGAAAGTCAAGAGACACGAGCCGGAGAGATCGAGGCGGGGGGAGTGAAGACCAAAAATGACGAGCGGGATTTTGCGAGAGAGGGGCGCAGCCGCAGCGTCGATGTGCGATGGCGACCAGGAGCGTGGCGACAGGATCCACGGGGGAGCGAAAAGGAAGTGTGTAACTGGATCTAAGGTGCGTCCAGTTACTAGCAGCACGCGGGTCTGCGACAACGATTCATCAGATGTGTTGCGCTGTGACGAGATGGGATGCGACGGTGTCGTTTGTGGTTGAGGACCCTTAGACTTGCGCGATATCCTAATATTGGAGGTGGTCGTGATGGTGGTGTTCTCGGAAGCCCGGTCGAATAGCTGGTTATTGCTTGTGGCTCTTGGCTGCGATGTGATCAGGCGAGCGCTCCCTCGTGAGGAAAACTAACGTAGTGTTGCTGTTGTTATTGCTGTGGTTGTCTTGGTGAATCGAGCTGGGTGAAATTCGGAGGAGATTGATGTTGCGACCAGGCGGCCAAGACGGAGGGCGAAGCAGGACCGCGGGGGCGATTGGTAGAAATATGGAGTGCGACTTGGGATTATTCACTACGGTTTATGTGGACGGCGTGCAGTGTCGAGAAAAAACGAAAAGCTGTCGGGCAAGATCGGTCGCGATACGAAATAATCGTCGATGGAGGTCTTTAGGTGCGGATAGGCGTGGTCAGAGCTTGAGCGATATGAAGAGCGAGCGGAAGATGACGAGGTTTGGTAGTCGGGGTGACGACGCTGGCGTTCATGTAAGGTGGTGAGTATCCTTCGTGTTTGGCGAAAGTAGAGGAGGTTGGCGAGGTTAGGGTGAGAGTGGTGAGGGTGAGGTATCTGCAAGGCAAGGCACGAAGCTCTGATTGGGGGAGAAGGTGTTGCTGAGGGTGAGTCAACGCAGGAAGATGGTTGCCAAGGTAAGAACTGGGAAGAAGGTGCGCGAGGTCGAGCGAGGTGATGCGGATGCGGAATGGGGGGAGGATGAGATGGGGATGGGATGCACAAGGCAATGGGATGGATGGATGGCGGGGGTTAGAGCAGGCACTCAGCGAGGTGGCGTCTCAGTTCGAGTCGAAAGTCGAGTGTTGCGGCAATGAAGGTAAGGAATTGATTGAATCAACCAGGCCTCTCTATCTGTCTGCCTGCGTTTGCGTATCGAATAGCGCGAAGGTCAAGTGAAGCAAGGTAGCCGGAATCCGTTCTGCAAGGAGCTGAGGACGTCATTGATGGGGTTGTTGGGCGCAACACGGCGGATGAGAACTTGAATGCGACAAGCAGCTGATGCGACCGAGTCGCCGACCGCAATTGGTGACGGCAGATGGTGGGGGTGGAACGTGGACTTCGGAACCGGGGGGGAATGAGGGAGGGGGAAAAGACTGCGAGACTGTGAGAGAGAACAATCGCACAATGGATGAAGAATAGTCACTTCATATCAATCAGGACAAGTCTTTAGCAGGGCAGCAGCATTTCACTTGTCGATTGCCCGAGTTACTGGGTGCATATTTTAGGAGGTCACGAAGGGAAGGCGCAACAATGGAAGGTATGGGGGGGACATGAGCTGAAGATGCCAGTCCAGGCCAGGCAGGTGCTTCGTAGATAATTATGATAGCACTTTCCTCAAGATACCTTGCTGATATCCACCTGGATGGATCGGAAGTGTCGTCTTTTCTGTCGAGACTTTCCAATGGAAGCAAGTCAAATCGCCAACATGCTCTTGAGTCTTGTCAACAGGAAAAATGCTAGCAGAGAGGCCTACGTCGCATGCAGTCTTTCATGTGCCTGGCATCTAGACATTCTACGATTGACTGGGTTCGTCTTCCATGTGCTGGGCGCATTCAAGCATTTGACTTCGAGATAAGATAAGGATTCCTCTTTCCAACCACCAACCACCAACCTAATCGATAAGAAGGTCAGGTCGCAGTCTCCACCTCACTCTGCACTTGTAACCCCTGCCGCCTTAGGTAAGACACTTTTCCTCAGCTTTTGGCTTGGGACACCCTGTGAGAATTTCCATATCTGAAAGACACCAAGACCCAAGTCCACCACGCCGGCTTCCCTTACTGAGAGGTCCCGGCAGCACCAATCACACCTTGCTCTCTCGCTGACGCATGCCATCATATCGTCACTAGCTAGCCACCGGGAAGTCAGTGGGGACTCTTTACTTTATCTCAAGTGCCCCAAGTTGGGTCGGTAGGGCATGGCATACACTCACTCTCAAGACCCCTAACTCTGACCTCATTCTTAGCCACGAGACAAATCCGATATCCCCTGGAAGTTTGCTGACAGACGGCCTTTTATCGAGCAGCCCATCTACGACATTTCCGAGTTCTCTGTTGCCGATGGTCCAATGGCCAAGTCCACCGACGCCCCGTGGGAGAAACATACCCTGTCGAGTCAAGGTACTGCGCAACATAGCCAGGGCCCAGGGCACCCAACGCATGCTGCAACGGGGCAAAGCGACCAACGCCTCCGATGTCGTACAGTAACGTAACAGACCTGATCAGACTCGACGCTCGGCACTTGATGCAACCAGTTGGGCCTTCTCAGTCCGGTCGAGTCGTACCCAACGTCCTCAGCGCCATGCCACTATCGCCATACCCGACTCTCGGGTTCAGCCCGTCCTGAGCTTTCTTTCACTACCAAATCGAATCTATGTCACTCATCGCTTGCGGAAATATACATTGCGGCATCGCCTAGCTTGTGGATATGTCGCAGTCTAAGCTCCGGTTTCTCGGTCTTTTCTCATTGGATGCAGTCTACACCACGGTAAAGAGACCAACCAACGTCTACAGGCTCTCCCCTTGTCCGCTTGACCCATCCCGTACGAGTCGAGAACACCTGCAACAGACATTTTCCTTGCATCTTGACCGCATCTTACCCGTCCGCTGGGTCCGATGGGAGAGGGAACAGTCTGTCGAGCTTTGGTCTTGAAATTTTTCAAGGGTCTCGAGAGTTTTTGGCCACCCAACGTCGGGCAGACGATATTTTAGCCACGCATTCATTGACACTGTCATATCACTCGGGAAACACGCAACTCCTGGCCAAGATATTGGGGTGGCATTGCGTCGCGCTTGTTTCTTCCTTTTCTCTCCTTCTTACCTCGCGTCCAAGCTGCCCATAATTCATCTGATAAAGCATCATCTCGTTGGCCAGCGCTGTCAGTCACAGGGCTAAGTCGAGGGGCTTGCGGCTTGCCCAGGCACCGCCCCTCATTGGACGTCCCTGTTTCTGCTCGGCGCCTATTGCGGGAGGAATCCCAGACATGCAGTCCAGAGCACAGCAACCCATCCCTAGCGTTTTTCCATTCATGAACACTCCATGCCATCTGTGGCCGCGAGAGATACACCCCGCACGGCCATGTGAGCACCTCACATGGGCTGGTCTGTCTGTCACCTGTCGCGTATTGTCTACCACGATAGAGCCTCAACCCCAACGTGGATATAATTCAAGGACGCCAAGTGGGTTGTCGACCATCGCCAGCGCGGTGTCATGTGTCACGTCCTTTGAAGGTGAACGACACATGGAATTGTCAGGAGCTTGGGCCCGCTCATCGTTGTTGTCGATGATGAGCCGCGTTGCCCCGTTTGACAAGACCGAATTCCGTCTACTGCAGGGCTGCCGCATGTTGTGTTTGAGAAGACAAGCTGTGTCACTATCAACCCGGTCTTGGCACACTCGCTGCTGGGCTAGTCTCTCGGATCTGCGACCCGACAAACTGAGATTACGCACACTTCGTCAACGTCTCATCTCCTGTAGAGTGACCGCCTATGTGAAGGAAGTTGCGGTGTTCACACAGAGTGCACTGCTATTCCCGAGCTTGGCGATGTCTTGCGAACCAACTCAGCCTCTCTCTGCTAATTCGGGCTCCATCATCAAGTGAGGCTTCTGAGGAAGGCCTGACTTGCTCAGAGTGGGCAGTGTAATCAGCAAAACAATGGCTTGTCTTCGTTTTGTAGGACCTGAGCATCAAAGTTCTTTGACAACGGACTTGTATCTTGGAAGTTCGAGGCTTGGATAACCATCCGTTGAAGACAGAGTCTTTATGGGCATGTCGGTTTCTTTGGCTGTCCATTGTCGTCAAAATCCCAAATTGGTTGTGGCATCTTTGACCCATGTGAAAGGCAAGAGGCACAGCAGAAAACATAGTGTCGAGCCTGTCTTTGATCGTCAACAAGATACCTCAGTGCCTTTTGATTGCAGTTTAGAGTATATGTTCGAGGAGAGCCCTCGTAGACAGAGAGGGTTCATTTCACAGACCATAGACTTTCTTCTCTTCAAATCGAACATTCTTATTGTATAACATTACTATACCATTGTATTTCCTTCATAGGTTGAGTGCTTTCACACAACATCCCGCATATACCACAATACCTTCGACGACATGGGCTTGCGTAGTGCCATTGTGTCCAAGCTGGTCTCTGGACACAACACCAACACCAAGAGCACTTACAACACTGGCACAGACGAGCACTTTACCCGGCTCATGAACTCGGCTCTAGAAGAGCGACACGTCCTACCGGGGTGGACTTATAACGAGCCAGAGGTTGACGCCACAATTCTCGAGGTCAACTTTGCTCAAGCCTGCAAGAGAACCAGATCAACCTGGCCCAGCGACTACTACTTTCAGTCTATTCACCCACGTCGTCCCTCAAATACACCAAATGTAGCCGTACACACTGACTTGGCCAACCTGGCTCGAAGATTCGACATCCCCATCAACGCCCTACACAGCTTCATGCGCTTCCCGCCCGTCCGCGCCGTCTTCCGCACCCTCCTCATCGAACTAGAGCACCCAGAAGCGCAGTCCTCACCCCAGCTAGACGAGCTCGCGATCCTCGACAGAGTCGACGACATCGTCTCCAACACGAGCTCCGCAGACCGAAAGACCTACCTCACCCAGGTCACTGCCCCCGGCCCACAGTTCGCAGACAGAGCTCTTATCCTGTGCCTCGTCAAGCTCTGCGCCCAGTTCGAGGGCTGGAGCCGCTGGGCGTTTGGGTCCCGCCGCTCAACAATCCAGGTCTTCATGGGCGTCATAGGCCTCTTCTGCAACGCGTGGGCGAAGGCGCCGACTGTTGATGCCTCGTGGTCGCGGGCTGGTGCGTCCTCTTTACCTTCCTTCATCACCTCTAAGCGGTTTGGTGTGTGCGAGCCTGATTCTCCTTGTCCGCAGAGTAGACTCACGCCCGAGATCTGGTTCGATTGGTCCCTCCTATTCGACCCCTGGCTCAGACAAACTAACGCGATCCAGCTGCTGAACCCGGAACCTGTATCCGTACCATCGTCCTCACCAGACCAACGACGGCCGTCCCGCCGCGCGAAACACGAAGCCCTCGTCGTGACGGAAATCACCCAGCCGGAGCCCGAAAAGCAGGGCCGCGTCGTGGTAAAGTACCACGACGACAGGAAACCCGACGAGGAGCGCTGGGCGTTCCGCTCGATCTTGGACTCGCGGTGGTCCGGGGCCGGTAAGACGCCGCGGACGGGGCTGCTGTATCTCGTTGAGTGGGAGTATGCTGAGTCGACGTGGCAGCCGGCGAGGGATTTGCAAGGGTGTGATTCGTGGGTGTTGGAGTTTCATCGGGAGAATCCTGGGAAGGCTGGGCCTATGACTAGGTTGAGGCGGGCTTTGTGAAGTAAAAGAATGAAGTTGGCGATGGTTGAGTGGATGTTGGGTTGTTAAATCGGTGCTCTGAATGTCATTCTTTGGCATTGGAGCCTTAAGAGGAGTTGGTTCAGTCGCATCGTCAAGGGAATTTCGATTGGAAGTAGGGTATAACGGGCGTTCTACTGTTTATTGGCCTCACAGTGAGTGTCTTCTGGTCATAATAGGTTATCAACGGTAGGTATATATTGAGCTATTGGCATCAAGCACTGATTCGATAGAAGCCTGCGAAGAATCTGTCTGTTGACTGCAGTATATCTGAACATACCTTTGGTCTTTTTGAGGGCAGCTATACATCAAGATTTTACTTCCCACTTCGAAAGAGCAAGAGTGTTTCTCAAAATCTTGCAATCTCGAGACATGAACCGACTGTTGTACATTTTGTGATTCTTGGGGGCCATACTGGATGAATATCACTTGGTGTCTGAGTCTGTAACTTCCTCCACTGTCGCGTTGTAGTTTTTCACTACAGGGTGACTTGCTTCGTTCTTCTCGGAAGGCTTGATCTCGTGTCGTGGGGTCGACGAGACTCTTACTATTGCAGAACCCCTTTCCCCAGTCTCTCTGGGAGGGATCTCCAAGCACTCTTCTCCCAAGTTTGATGGGGCTTCTCCCGGTTTAGAATTCCCTACTTCAGTATCCGCACGGAGAAATTTGGGGTGCTTCTTCAGTGGATTCGATGAGTGTTTTTGTTTTCTTTTTTTTTTATGATGCTTCCCTTCACTGGCCTCAGACACTCTATGGCCTGGCAGCCATTCTGGATACTCGATTTGTTCCTGGGACCCCTGACTGAAGCATTGGTTGTATTCTATAGAGAGAAACGGGTTGATTTTATAGTGTTCGACTTCTACCCGGTCGCTATCTGGGTAGATGGTCGGAAACCGCCTTCCGTCGCTACAGTATCGAATTGAAGGGAGAGTCATCTTCAAGAATGTTCCTCTCGATGAAGGTCGTCCTTGAGTGAGCTGGCGATGAGCGATGGTTCGTGAGTAACCTGGGTAAGACTGTCTATGTCATGGTTGAGTACTATGACATGTTATTAGTACCATTCGCAGTCAAGTTTGTGTCAGGAAAACGGAGGTCAAGGAGACTGTTCTTTCTTTGACACCTGAATATGGCCAAGAGAGCGGATGAAAGAGCCACCTGTTCAAGGCCGCTGTTCACCCTCGGGGCCCTCCCAGAGGACTCGAGCTGCGTGAACATCAGATACTAGCACAACGGGAAATCAGATAGCTGGAGCAATGCTACTTGGAATGATGACTGTACTTGGACTACTGGGAATGTCGTATTTAATATTGATCTTATAAGCTATATCTGTCTAGCCCAGACCGTCACAGCGATGTTTGTGGAAAGTAGAGGAGCTGATGATCGTAGCAATGAATAGACCATCACCACTTTCCGCTGCGACATACGGCTGGCTGGGAATGCTGAAGTCTTAGCCTGGCGGAATACCCAGTCAAAACTGCGCTGGCTTTACCAATCCCACTTGGAAGCATCTTGCCGAAAAACAGAGGAGACGATGGCCATGGCGACAACTTGACATCACAAAGCATCTCAGATAGGCAGTCAATTTGTATCGAGCTTGCGACCTTGATGAATTTTGCAACCCTGCAGAGGGATGCCTTTAACTGAGCAAAACTTGGACTGCTTCAAAATCATCTAAGAATACAAACTCAATGGCTTAGCCGCCAGGTCTTTCGAGAAGAACGCTCGCATCAACCAATTTCTTCAATGTCTTGCTACCGACTGTCTTTGATGAAAGACCGAGATGGACCGGCCCTAATATACTAACGGGGTTGGATAGGAGGAGCATTAGTCGATACCTGGCTCCATTCTCCTGTCAATACCTCTCCGTTGCACTCGTCTTCTGACCCCATCTCCTCTATTTCAAAACCTTCCCCATAGCTGGGATTCGACCGGCGTGAAGAGCGTCGTTGATTCAGAGACGGGTGGAACTTCTTGTCCGGGGGAAACGAGAAATTTCGGCTGCTTGGAATCGGTTCGTAGTGCTGTTGTGGATGGCGATCCTGATAATGGGGAACCGGGGTACTCCGGCTTCCTTGACCAGGTTTCCATCCGTACTGGGTTGAATTTGAGTGTACATTTGCATATTCTTGACCCGGAATATATGAATTATTCTGACCTCCTGAAAACGACACAAATCCTCTTTTGTACGGGTGATATTCGTCTTTCGGAATATACGAAGTTTTCTGATCTTCCGAAATCGCCACACGTCCCCTTACGTACTCTTCTGGTGCGGTTGAATAGCCTTGATTCGAAAATTTTGGATTATTCTGGACCTTTTCATGGCCTGTCATTGTTGGAGCACCTTCTCGCATCGTGCTCGTCGAGACATGGGGCATTCGCGGCGGGACATATCCTCGGTCCGGTGGTGACTCTGTGAAAAAGTCCGAACTGTCTTCCGGTCTTCGAGCCTTCTCTCGAGGTTTTGTCTCGGTGTTCCAGGGGTTGCTTCGGCTGGATCGTGGCGTGCCCTTTGGACTTTGCTCAACTCGTGTCTGATCTTCTTTTCTACGAGGATTGCCGCATCCAGTGCAATACAGTGGTCCATCGCAATGGGCAAGGTCTTCTTCGCAGGCGCTTGGATCGCAATGCCACAACCGGAATTTCCTGGAACCAGTACCCTCATCCTCATAACTGGAGAATTTTGGAGTCTTCATTGTCTGGTACTTCTTAAGCTGCCTTCGGTGAAGATATTACCTCCATGTGCTCAATGACGATGATTCTTGCGCAGTTCTCGATAAGATCGTCTATGCCATACCCGACATGCTTTCCCCCGTAGACTTTATATGCCAAATGAGTCATGCTTGTGATTCAGGGACAAAACAGTTGTTCGGTCTTTCATACTTGAACATGGTGAAGAGGACGAAAGGTTAGCCGTACTGTGCTACGTCACTGGCTCCTGGGTTAGTATCTCGCAACAGACGATGACTTCCTTGAGCGCCCCAACTCGAGAGGTGTCTGAATTTGTGAGTCCTTTGTCTATATCGAGATTCGTTTACCGCCCCAGGGGTTGGCGGTCACCGGACCCCAGGCAGTTCAAAGGACGCAGTGTAGGAGCTCAATCGCAGGAGTCTAGACTTCCCGACAGGCCGCTGCGACAGGCAGTCGAACACTCGACTACCCTTCTCATACGACTCCAGTGACAGTGATCTTTTCAAAATCTTACGAAAAAGCGACTCATAGACAGACAGTGAGTGGCTTTTTGGAGGGATATTTAACTATGGCCGTCACCCCTATCTTGGGTCTTGAGATCAAAATTGATCTCAAGACTCTCCACGCTACGACGCGGCAGGTGATGAAAGTGATACGTAAATCGGGTACTTGCCCGTAGAGAATAGCACTGATTTGACAATCGTCTTGGACTCACGCTGCGAGAACTGGATAGGGGAGCTTTCGATGACACCGATTCGCTTCCATCCGAATCGCTTCCCTCCGAGGAGCTTGACTCCGAAACACTCGGCCTTCGAGCTCATCTGCCTGTCGATTGCGGTTTCCCCTCTGCCCATGCTGCTATCCTCTGACCGTGCAAGCTTTTATCTCTAAAAACCTTAGGTCTATGCTTCTTGCTTCTCGTGGCGCGATCTCGCTGAGGGTTA